GATAAATACTTACACAGATTTAAAGTTCATAAGTTAAATACCTATAAATTAACTTAATAGCGAATATTATAAGTTGAGTTGAATCTAAATTTAAATATGAAGGCACTAGGAGAATATACTAAGGTAAATAATGTATGATTTTATTTAGTATATCATAATAAAATGTTCAATACATAGTAATTAGGTTTAATCAAATAGAAAAAACGCTAATGCAGCTAATATTTTTTTTAAGAAATACCAATCGATTTAATAAATCTGAATTAAGCCTATTACGCTTTATCGGTTATATAGTTGCCAGTGTCAGAAAACAAACATTCTGATAATACAGAAGAAGCTGGCACTGCAAGATATCATCTTGCTAAGATAGCCAAAGTAGGAAAGAAAGCTTTATATTGACACCACCAATCTAAAGGACAAGATCCTTCTAAAAAAAAGGAAATTGAGCATTAAAATTCATAATTTATTAGATATAAGAGAATTTCTCTTATTGGCTAGCACAAATAATTTAGACTGTTATTATCTAAAAGTTTAAAGCAACATCTATACTACTTTCTAAAATAAAACCATTTTTATAAACAACTAGGTAATATCAAAGAAAACTAACTTTCATCAAGAGAAACTTGAGGTATTTCACAATACCGGTCAAATTCATCAAGCTTATTTCTTAAGTCTTCAGTTCGTAAATACGTAAAAAATATCAATATTTTGGTTTTTTTCTGTTAGTGTGAAAATGTTGTATTTTCTTCATTAGCGGTTTGTGTTGAATCATTATTAATGGTTTGTATTGAATATAATTCATTAAATTGCTGATGCATACTTTGGATTATTGTACGGTATAAATTACTAGTACAGAAATTTAATTTTTTGAATCGTAGGTCAAGGAAGGAGCAGTACATACCTATTTCACTTGGGTCTCTCTACTATTCAATTAAGTTATCCAAAATTGTGTCTTTAACCAGAAATGCTTTATCCTTTTGTCTAGAAAAGAACTTGAGTCAGTGGGCAAGCTCTTCCAAAAGTGGAGTAATAAAGCTTAGTGTAGGGTATTTGAATTCGCTTAAAAATTGTGTTGCATCATTAAAGGGAGAAAGAATCTCAATGGTTCTTTCAATATTTCAAATTCTTCTGAAGAAGAGATAGAAGAACTCATAGCTTCTGCTTCTTTTCTAACTTCTCTAATAGTATTATTAATAAGAGTTGAGTATAAATATATAATAGCAGGTTTTAAATGCACAAGATGTTCAATAGCAAAAAGGGTGAAGTTTTATCAGGTATCTACATCTTTAATAACATCAAGTAGATTTTTTAGATTTGGATTAATTTGCAACTGAGCTTTACGAAGTTGCTTTCTTTTTTTTTCTTTAGACAAAATAGAAATAAGGTCTTTATACTTTGAAATAAGACTATCAACTTCTTTTAATTCTAAATTTATACTTAGTTGAAGGGTATGTCCAGCACATTTTACATTAGTAATACCTATTTCTCATACTGCAGCTTTTATATTTTAACCATTATCTGTAGTAATAGAAAAGACCTTTTGACTATTAATATTAAATTTATTAAAAACAAAATTAACTGACTCAACTATATTAGATGCATAATGTTCATCCAACTCTCCAACTTCAAGTACAACCTTGTGCAAATCAAAGGAATCTGTAAGCCAGTAGCAAGTAATTCCAAGATAACTATCATGTGCCTGTGATATCCAAAGATCAAAGGTTAAAAAAACTGTATCTGATGTCTTTGAAATAAGATCCATAATTTCTTTTTTTGCTGAATTATAGGTATCAAATATAGCTGTTTTTATTGTATTAATACATGTTACCTTATATCGAGGATCGATATTTTTTACCCAAATTTTAAAGTCATCGATTTCAATGATATGAATAGGCTGAACACATGTAACTATATAGTGCACAAGTTAACATATTAGTTTGTTTTGAATAAAAGTAGAATGAGGTCTCATAATTACTTGCTGAATCATTTGTTGGTGAACTTTTACTGATTTATCTGTAAGCGATTCTTTAGTAATATGATGTATATCACGAAGATGATTTATTAAGTTACTAGTTGAACTTTTCCACAAATACTCTGTATCATATCCTTCAAATAAACATTGAACCTTTTCTGCTTATTGTTCTTGATTATCTGATGATAATATTGAAGCCATATATTTTTTAAAAAATTTCCAGACAAAACTTTCTGACTTTCTTTTTCTTTCATTGATAATATTTGAAGATGTAGATGTAGAATCTAATAATTCACTATCGCTATTGTTTGTTTCTTTATCTTTATCAGATGAAGAAATATCAAAGCTATCCATTGTAATTTTTTTTTTAACCAAGATATTACCATAAAAAACAGCTTATTGTTTTTTACCCTTTGGCCTGCTCACACCTTATACTAATATTAGCATTAAAGACACTTACATTATTAAACTGGTTCTATACAAGATAAAAATTTAGACTTAAAATTTTACTTAAAAATTATCCCCTTATCGTTATATTTTTAATTTATTTAACTTTTATAAATCGAACAATCTATTTGTATTATCAATATCGTTATCCTTTTTTATCATTATATTTCAATGATTCATATTATTCACATGATTCTATCATAATTTTAATTAACTAATTAAAGTTAAAATACAGATATAAAATAAGGCTTTAACATTCAATTACTTTGTAGGTATAGCTTTTATATTTCTAGTCATTGCATCTTTCTTCCTTTTTCCTTTTATATTGACAAATAAATATATCTTTATTCATAAACTGGTTATGAGCTAGCAAATTAAATAAATAATTTTCTTAATTATTTTTTGACTGAAAAATTTTTTTTGTCTCTTTATATATGCACCTCCTTTATTCTTTACAACGTCACCTTTTATTTACAACCAACACCTCTTTTATTCACAAACTAGGTATATGCCAGTTAATTGAATTTTTTTTACTTTGTAAAAAAAAAAAAATCTACTAATACGTATAATTGATTAAAATTCGTGATAAAAATCAATTATATATATTACGTTATACAATAAATAAACTTTGCATGCATGCATAAACTTTGATGATTTAACTAATATATACTAGTAGTTCATTAAGTTGTGATTATATTACACAATATCTTTGACGATTAATCATTTAGTTGTTTATCTAATTAATAGTTAGTTGTTTACAAGTTGGTAACTAACAACTAATCGCAATTAAACTAGTTATAAATTAATTGATTAGTTGTTTTAAATTTTTATCAATTGATTAGTTGTAAAGTTGTTAACTAGTTGATTTTTCAACTAACGATTTGGATTACTAGTTCTAAATATGTTACATATTTAAGTTGGTATTACAGAAAAAGTATTGAAAATCAGAGGGCTTAATTAGGGGATCCACAAGCAGATCTTAGGTATAGCAGTTAGTAGGTAACCTTTGAGCAGAACCTTTAAATAGACAATGACTAAAATTGTATGTGTAGCTAATTGTGACCTTATTGATATGCAAAATGTAGTACCCTCCTATCTAAGTATAGGTTGTAAGTCTTAAATAAATAAATATCAGGACATAAAACTTCCTCTTTAAACTGTAAAAAAAAAAAAATTATAATTAAAGGCTATGTTAGCTCATGAAGGAGGAATAACTCTCTAAGTTCTGCTTAGTAAATTAAATTCTTTATTGAATAAATAAATATATTATAAATTCTGAATAACTCATTCTCACTAAATTGTTTCCCAAACCTGATCTATTGTTTAATGTAATTAATAATAAGATCCTTATTACCTTGTCTATGTGATACTTACCCTTGAATTTCCAGTTAAGTCTTAATATACCAAGATTAACTATGGTATATTGTCTAGCTAACCTGACAGATTGTGGTTAGTTGTAGTTGTATTATTCTCTAATTGTCTGACGTATAGTGGTAATTGTGATCTCAAGTTTAGAATATACAATGTATAGTTATATTCTAGTTGTCCAAATCCTAAAGATCAATTCTCTACATGGTTCCCCTGCTATAAACATAAGATTAGTATTAGTAGAGAAATAATTAAAGGCATAATTACTAAGAAGATTAGAGAGATTCATCTATGAACCCAAATCACTGACTAAATCTAAATACTCTCTTTTGACTAAGCTATTTGTAGGTTATGCAGGGTTCTGAATAGTCAAGTGACTGACTCATCATAATTCCCCAGTAGCATTTTGGTAGTAACTGTGAGATACATAATATAATTTTTGTTGTAGTATTATCCCCCAAAGTAAATAATAGTGTAGAAGTTATGAAAATTTAAAATTAAAAAAAAAAAATATATTAAATATACCAACTGGCAACCTCTAACCATTGGCAATATGAAACCTAAATAAAAATACTCTGATGACAGTGAGTCCCAAAGAACCTTCTAAATTATGAACTAATTTGAGCAGACACCTAAAGAAGACTTATATATTCCTATTGCAAAAAAGAAAACCATAATGTTAGTAAGTATCCAAAAATAAAAATAATGCAACTAGAATGTATAGAGTTGCTAGATGCACTTACTGAAGAACAAATCATGGAAGCCTATAAAATGATAGATGAAACTATAAGAAACTTTAATATTAATAACTCGCAAGGTCTAGAACATTTTGTAGAAATATTAATAGATGTTGGTTTCAATTACAATCTCCATAATAATAAAAAAGAAGAAGAAATTACATACCTGCTCTCATATATTCGATTAGCTCTACTAGTAGAAAAAAAGGCTTTACCTCCAGTACTTCTAGTAATTCCAATTCTAAAATTTCACAATCTTTAAGTTGAAATCGATATAGAAAAATTTCTGCAAGAATTGATTTCTGAATGTGATACCATCGTAAAGAAGTAGTCTTCCAAACAAAACTTCTGAAATTGGCTTTAAAAAGATGAAAATAAGGTACCTGATTATCAAGAAAAGGTACTTGATAAGGAAGAGACCAAGGGAATATATGATTGCAACTCCTGTGATCAAAATAAAATAAGAATTAATGAAGAAATTAGTGTCAAAAAGGAAAAATATAAAGCCTTCACTTATTATCAAAAATCTGTAGAAATTGGTTGTTATTATCAATATAAAATTGAAATTAAAAAGAGCAAACATAAAAATAATGAAGATAAAATATACTTTGTGTATCCAAGAAATATCGAATCTGATGAAGTTGAGAAAGAAGCTAATGATAACGACAATGATGATGCTGATCCTAGCAAAGTTGATAATAATTTTGATAATAAAATAATTGTTGCTAAAGATTATGATCCCAAAATATCTGAATTAGACGCAAACCTGAATAAAACCTGTGATTTGTAGATAAAAAAGGTTAGTGAGTTCTTAAAAATGGCCTTAAGCAACAAGATCGTAATGTTTATAGAAAAAGAAAACCAGTACCTGTATAGCATAATAAAACCTAGAACCATGTCTAGTCTTGTTAAATTGAAAGCGAAAGTTATTGGCTACAAAAATAATAAGAAAGAGAAAACTGCAGAGGATAAACCTAAAAATAAAAAGAAAATCAAATTAAAATTAAAAACAAAAAATCTCCAAACTTGAAAGCTTCCCAATACATAGTATTTTGCCATTTAAGCACTAAGATCTTTGACCCCAGAGGAATAAGTTCCTAAAATAAAGTGAAATAATAATAATAATAATAAAAAAAAAATAATAATAATAATAATAATAATAATGATAAATCACAAAAATAAGTCAAAAAAAAAATATTTGAATAATCTCAGTAACCCACTCCTTCTAGTTTTTAATTACCTACTCTTACCTATAGATATTATTTAGGCATATTCTACAAAGCCAGTTTCATAACCTAGACTTAATAACCTCCAGAAATTGAAGCTAAGTAAACTCCAAAGGATTACTACCACTGAACCTCATTGTCTAGAAATATTTCAAACAGAAGTTGATGCGTAAAAACACAACTTAAATAGAGGAGAGATGTGAGATTCAAAAAATAGTTAAGCTGAGTTCAGAATAGTATAACATGACCACAGGTCATAGAGATAGAATTTCATAAATTGCATATAATACATTTATTGCATATAATATATTTATTGCATTTATTGTATTTATTGTATATATTGTATTTATGTAATTTATGTGATTTATTAGATAAATATGATTTATTAGCTATATTACTTTTATGATATTTATATAATAAATTAGATAAATTGTATTTGAATATTATATTATTAATAAAGGCATGTTGGCCTATGAAGGAGAAATAACTCTTCTAAGTTCTGCTTAGTAAATTGAGTCTTTTATTGAATAAATAAATACATTATAAATTCTGAATAACTCACTCTCACTAAATTGTTTCCTAAACCCGATCTACTATTTAACATAATTAATAGTAAGATCCTCGTTACCTTGTTCACGTGATATTTACCCTTGAATTTCTAGTTAAGTCTTAACATACCAAGATTAACTGTAGTATATTGTCTAGCTAACCTAACAGATTGTGGTTAGTTGTGGTTGTATTATTCTCCAATTGCTTGATATACAGTAGTAATTGTAATCTCAAGTTTAGGATACACAACATACAGTTGTATCCTAGTTGTTCAAATTCTGAAGATCAATTTTCTATATAGTTCCTCTGCTATAAACATAAGATTAGTGTTAGTAGAGTAATAATTAAAGGCATAATCACTAAGAAGATTAGAGAGATTCACCTATGAACTCAAACCACTAACCAAATCTAAATGCCCTCTTTTGACTAAGCTATTCATAGGTTATATAAGGTTCTGAATAGTTAAGCGACTGACTCACCATAATTTCCTGGTAGCACTATACTCAGTGCACGTATTGTAATAATACTCTAAAATATGATAGCAATAATGAAACAAGTTCCTTAATTCGTCATCTAAAAAATACTAAGTGTAGTCAATATCTTAATAAAGCAAATAAACATAAATTACCAGTTTCTTATGAATTTTCTCAGAAAAGAAGCTGTCAGGATTTGGCAAATATAGTTATTATATATGAATACTCATTTCATATAGTCAAACACCAAGAATTTTTAAAATTCATTAATAACTTGCAGCCAAAGTTTAGAGTAATAAGTGAGAAAACAATTCATGAAGACTGCATGAAAGTTTTTGCAGACCTTAAGATAAAAGTTCATAAAATGATACATGAGACTCTCAGAAATTTGAGCTTTACAACAGATATGTGTACATCAAACCAAAATATCAGATATATAGTCATCACATATCATTTTATTAATAATAGTTGGAATTTCTAGAAGCTAATTATAGTATTTCAATTTGTTCCTGTGCCATATATAGGAATTACTATTAGTAATATACTTTTTTAATGTTTTAATAATTAGAATACTGGATCTAGAATATTAGCAATTACTTTAAACAATGCAAGTAACAATGATACTGCAATAACTAATATAAGGCATAAGCTTAGTGAACAAGACATGCTTATCGCAAATGAAAATTTTTTGCATCAACATTGTTGTGCCTATATTTTGAATCTAATAGTCATTGATGGGCTTAAGATGGTTAAAGATATTGTTAGCAAGGTTAGAAATTGTGTAAAATAGATTTATAGTTCAGAACACTGACAGCAAAATATTGAGGATCTTATTGTTGGATACTGTAATAAACTTGTTTCAAAGCAGCACTGACTCTTGATATAATTACCTGATGGAATTTGACATATTCATATTAGAATCTACTATCCCTTATAAGAATACATTCAAATATTTATCATTTCAGGATATTAGCTTTGAGTCAATTATGCCTTTGGAAGAAGATTGGGAAAAGGCAGAAAGTCTCTGTAATTTCTTAAAACTATTTTATGAAATTACTAATCTAAGGTCCAGTGATCTTAGTGTAGTAGTTAGGTTGTCGGACTGCCATGTAAGAGGTCTGGGGTTCAAATCCCACTGTCGACGAGTTTGAATAATTACTCAGACCTTTGTATCCAACTTACGATAAATCCTGTTCGTTTCTGGGGTTGTAACTCAATAAATCACATTGCACCAATATTAATCAGATATTGGAAGTGTGACGCAATGTTCGAGTTACATTGCACAAATAAATCTTGATAGGATCTACAGGCAGGGGACCTGCATAGTAGAAATCCCGAATTAGGTAAAGTAGTATGGATTTTGACGGTCAAACTGGTTAATACTTGATCCAGTGAAAAACCTGAGTACAGAAGATGTGAGATCGATAGGTGCAAGTAAGTCCACTATATAACGTAGCCTGGTGCCTTGCATTAGTGGCAACACCAACTTGGCTTGGTGGCTAACTAGATTGGGAGGATCTACCTCGTGAAATATCAAAAATCTCAGAGGACTATATCTGGTGGAAAGCCACGGTAGGAACTGGGTTTGTGTGAACATCTAATAAGGGTATATACTAGCTTAATTGGGATATAGCACAGCATAGTTGGGGTATTCCGCAGGCCCCTTCTGATGAGGACAAAAGGGTACCTTGAGATAGGGCCCTCCTAATAATGAAAACTGAGGCGCAAGGTCAACCTGAGTGGTCCTCTATAAGGCAGCACAAGATTGTGCAGGTTTAAGACTAATTAGGTTAAACATTAGAGATGATGGTACTCCAGAGAGTTTAAAATAGAGTATCCGCAAGGGGATACTAGATATGGCAATTAGTAGGTAATCTCCAGGCAGAACCTTTAAATAGACAATGATTAAAAGTTGTACATGTGACTAATTGTACTCTCACTTATCAATGTAAACTTACAAACAACTTAATAAAAATTAACTAGCATCGAGGCCCTGTTGTAACAATAAAAAAAAAAAAAAAAAATTACTAATCTTATATCAGGAAGTACCTACTCTACTACAAATATTTTTCTTTTTCAATTATCAAAAATTAAGGTATATCTCAAATGTAATTCTACTAATTCAGATTATTTTCTTTATCAAATGTCTGAGCCAATGCAATTGAAATTTAATAAATACTAGCAGACATGGGAGATACATATTGTATTGCATCAATATTGAACCTCCGTTACAAAATATCATTACTAACTTTTATATATAAACATAAAATGAACTTGTCATGTACTGAAGCTGAGGAAAAGTTAACCTTAATTAAATTGAAAGCTACAACAATTTATAATTCAACCTATTTGCAGTATAGTGCTTGTTCTAATAATACATCAGTAAAAAATTTTTCTAACATTCTTGAGGATGAAGAAATAGACGAATTCGATTCTTTTTCTTAAGGCTAATAATTATCAAAATAAGATAACTGAGTTCAAACAGTATCTTAATGATCCACTTTTTCTCCATTCACATTCAGAGCAATTTGATATTCTAGCCTGGTGGAGGGCAAATGCACAAAAATATCCTTCAGTATCATCAATGACAAGAGATATTCTTTCGATTCCAGTGATATCAGTAGCTTCTGAATCGGTTAATAATTTACAAGTATATTATCAATTTTTTTCAAGGATAAAACTAACCTGTACTTTATTATTAGTTGTTCAGTACAGCTGGAAGAATTATTGATGAATATCATTCAAACCTTACTTCAGAGACAGTTGAAATGCTAGTATGTGATCAAAATTGGTTAAACAGTATAGAAGAATACAATTAGAATAGTAAATAAATAGATGGTTTTTTTTTTTAATAAAACAGCTATTATTGCTACATATTTTTAGGTAGCTCTTAAAACATATATACAAACAGACATATCAATAGGAACTAAATTACCAAATAAAGTAGTTTACTATTTTATAAGACAGCAAATTATTACAATTCGTAGATTTAAATATGGCATTAAAAACAATTGATAATATATTAGTGCTACAATTATATTCATAAAAATAGATGATACTTTAAAAATACTAGCTAAAAGCAAATATATATTATCCTAGATTCCCTATAACGCATTTGGAATTATTTACAATCTGAGACCAAGTAGATTTGCAACAGTTTATTATGCTTATTGGATAAATCAAAACCTAGAAGTATAAACCTGTTGTACTCACGAATCAAAAAAAATTCTAAAAACTTTGTAAAAAGATAATTAGATTTATGCTAATTTTAAATATTTATATTTTAATTTATTTTAATGCTAAAGTTAAAAAGCATATTTATGATGCTGCGAAATGAAATTTCTAAAAATTACATTATTTTTATGCAAGCAGTCAGCAATTCTTTATATAGTAATCTTTTCACTACAGTACAAGCAGAATGAAAAGATAATTGCACTATATTGTTTCTTGACTGCAAATTATTTATTTTCAAGAATTTATTTATTGAGATTTACATAGTAGCAATGTTTTACTTGTTAAGTAGTATATATATTTCAGATTTGAGGCTTTAAAATACATTAACATAGATTCAAATTTGTGTAATTTTACCATATAAACTTATAGCATATTTGCATAGGAAAATAGTACTCAATAAATTAAACCTACAAATTTTTGAAGAACCTTATGAAGAAACACTTGAAGATATAGAAACATGTTATATGAATTTAACAAAACAATGCCAGAATAGAAAACTAGAAAAGACAGATTATATCTATCTGAATTTCGATTACTAATGTTATTGAAAAAGATATAGATATGATTAAATTTCATGTAATAAAAAAAATATAAACTATTCGATTTTCTTTTCCTTTACTGCACTTTTCAATTTACTGTAGCCATTTAAATACGTATGTTTTAGCTTGATGGCATACAATTTGCATAAGTATAGTTTTTAAGTCATAGGCAGGGTAGTATAGTTACCGTAATTTATTGGTAAGTAACCAAAATGGTTACTTACAGGTAATTTATGATAAGTTACCACAATATATTTTTATAATGGTAACTTTGGTAACTTACTTACTGTAACTTAACTGTAACTTACCTAATAACTTACAATTGGTAAAGTTACTACTAACAATCCTGGTCATAGATATATTGGGCTACGGGCCAGG